CAGAATTTCAATCACCACTGCCTATAACAAGCTCATTTCACCATCCCCAAATACTCTTACTTGCACCCTCACACAGGAGGGAACTCACGCTGGCATGCTTAAATACCTTCCATGATATTGACTTGGAGATTCAATATGTCCTATCCAGAGTACATTCAAACACTGAAATTAGTGTGGTCACATATGTACTTTTAAAATGCCCTATCTACCCTTGGAGGATGGAGTTAATCTCTCATCTAATCTCAAACCATCCAAACTGGTTCCAACAGGGAACAACATGTTTCCTATTAAATGACCAAGATTGAAAAGTCTGTAGGAAGGTAGCCAAATTCTATACATCTAAAAGGTGGGATAACAACTTGATGATAGTTGCCAGAACTGCCATCTTTTGCTGAAGGCTCAAGGTACACTCTGTTTTATGAATGATTATATCCCAATAGAAATTGGGGAGGCCTATTTCCATGAGTTACATCTGGCAGATGAGTCAGATGTTGGTTCCCTCCCACATTACATATCTGAGATATCTAAATTGGTTAATTGAATGAAAGCAGGAAAAAAACTGATCAGAAATATTCTAGGATGATGGGCCACAATATTGGCATGATTTTTACCTTTACTGCTGAAGGCCTAAAGCCTGGTCAGTCAGTATCGTAAGAAATTGGGACCTGACAATTATTATTCCTATTTTTTTAAAATGTGGATGAAATGAGCAGATACACTGTCACTGAATCAGTCTTTTAATCATCAGCAGCAAAGTTTATGCTAGGTATTTGTACTGGAAACTTCAGAACAGCTGTTCATTGAGAATATCTTGGTGGAAGATATCAAAATCTGTCCTTTTCTCCACTAAACCACTGTTGCACATCTAATTGAAAAATATATTCTGAAATCCAAATCATCTCTGTCCAGAGCTTTTGTTGATTTTAAGAATGCATTTGACCTTATTTCTAGTAAGATACATGGGACAAACTTAAAGCCTTACTGACTGGCCCTTGTTTACTTTCATGCATTAATTGTGTAACCATACTAGTTTGATAGGCCATTTAAGCGAACTGATTCCTACATGGAGAAAGGTTATATAATATATTAAAATGAATAGCCCCCCTTGTATTCATTTTAATATAAACACTTTTGTTTACACTATATGATTTGAAAAATCACCCTTCACACTTACAAATAAACATTTTAAAGTTTTTATGTGGCTGATATAGTAATCTTAATAATCTGGTTGGTTTCCACAGAGAATGCTAAATAAATTATACTAAGATTATGTTCTTTGCAAGAAGTTCATAATGGAACTTTCATGTGAAAAAGTTCAAATAGATTATCATGAGTAATTGTAATATTTTAACTATTTGTAGGTGAGTGGGAGTTAAGTGGGTGAATTTGTAATTCTAGAATTCTGAACAGGTAAAGAGGTATGGCAGCCATTTTTAAATGTAAGGGGAGTTCAGTCTATCCCTGTAGCTATATAGCTTCTTGAAACCAGTGTGTTTTCTCAGCTATTGATAGGATACAACTTACTTTTTTTTAGTGATGGGAAGTAATCTGTCTTCCATGGTAAAAACAACAACAGATATGTGTATGCTCCTGTAGTTCTAGAGCAGTAAAAACATGCTTTTGTGCTGTTTTTCCTGTAAAAAACTTTATTATGTATGTAATGTTAGCTCCACTTAAGATTATCCTTGCTTTTTTTCTCTTACATCAGGATGATAAGGTACCATGTAGGATAGCAAGATTTTGTGTGACTGCCAGCAGAATCCAAGGGTGAATAATGTCTACATTAACATCTTTGAATGCTTTTATTTTTATATTTCTACATGGCAGTATTTCATATATATTATATATTTTTAAAAATCCCTTCTCACCCCTATGGGTGGTATGTGTCTTCCTCAATCTCGGGTCCTCTACCAGAGCCCTGGGAATTTGAGGGTTCTGCACAGTATCTTAGCTGTTCCTAACACTGCACTCTTCTGGACAGAGAGCTCTGATATTGTTCCTGGGATCCATTAGAGCCACTCTCCCAGCTTAGGAGTCACACCTCAAGTGCTCCTACCACCACTGAGACCACTCGGCCCTTGACTTCCACATCCTCTCTAGTTCCTCCTTCAGGCCCTGGTACTTCTCCAGCTTCTCATACTCCTTCTTCCTGATGTTGCTGTCACTTGGCACCGCTACATCTATCACCACCACTGCCTTCTTGTCCTTGTCTACTACCACAGTGTCTGATTTATTGTCCAGTACCTGCCTGTCCATCTGGATCTGGAAGTTCCACAGAATCTTAGCCCTGTTATTCTCCACGACCATCTGTGGAATCTCCCATCTAGACCTGGGAGGGTCTAGCCTATACGCTGTGTAGATGTTCCTATGCACAATGCCAGCTACTTGGTTTTGCTGTTCAGTGTACTCTGTTCCTGCCTGCATCTTATCCCCTGCCACTATGTGTTGGACTGTCTCTGAGGTCTCTCTGCACAGTCTGCACCTTGGATCCTGTCTACTGT